TGGGGGCCTCGGGGCGTTGGGGGTCCAAAGACTTTGAGGGATCGGGGACCTCAGGGGGTTGGGCGGGCGTGGGCTCCGTGGGGGACAGGAGGTTGCGGGAGGTTGATGGAGACTTGGAGAGTTGGGAGGGGTTGGGGGAACTGGGAGGCAGGAGGTTGGAGGCTGATGGGGATTCGGGGAGTTGGGGACCTCAGAGGGCTCGGGGGCGCTCAGAGCGGTTGAGGGAGCTGGAGGGGGAGGGCAGGAGTTTGGGGGATCTGATGGGGATTTGGGGTCTGAGGGGTTGGGGCGGCTCAAGAGGGTTGGGGAGCTGGGGGGGCAGGGTCTCGGGCGGAGCTGGGGGATTTGTGGCTCAGGGAGGGTTGGGGGAGCTGGGAGAAAGAGGGGGACTCAGAAGGTGTTGCGGCAGCTGATGCACTATGGGAGACAGGTGGGTTGGTGGAAAATGGGGGACTAGGAGTGACTGGGGGGTCCCCCATGACCTCCCAGCAGACCTGGTGCCACTGAGATGTGGGGTGGTGACAGGAACAGGTGGGATCCCTGTCTCCCTTGTCCCCCATCTCCCTGTCCCCAAGCCCCCCCGAGTTATGCTCCCTCTCCTGCAGGCCACCTACTCCCCAGGCCATGACACTGAGGACACAGTGATGGGGCGCAGGACAGGAGCCCCCGGAGGGGAACAGCAGCCACCCTGGTGAGGGTGCCTGCGGGGTCCCTGCTGCTTCCCCCCAACTTGAGGACTACCTCTGCCATGTTCCTTGGGAGGGGCTTGTCATAAGAAAGAGGGTGGGGGTCCCCTTGTTGCCTCCCCCTTATATCCCCCCCTCTCATCTCTTGCTTATGGCCCCCCCATCCTCCCCTTTTTCCCCCCATTGTTGCCACCTCTTGCTTGCTAGGGTCAGACCATGCTTCTGCTCACCTTCCCTGTGCATGGGGAGCGTGCCAGGTGTCGCTGCCCTCCAGCCACCTCTGTCCACACCCTCTGCACTCTTGGGGACCTTGCGTGGGATGCAGAACACCCTCCCGGCCTGCAGTGCTGCTGGCAATGCTCCAATGCAAGTTTCCCAGCCTGTGTGCAGGTGCATTGGCTGCACCAGCTGATTCAGTGGGCCAGCTGAAACCTTGCTTCTGTGACTCCCAGTGCCACCTTCCCTGGAGCAGGAGGCTTCTCCGCGTAACAGAGGCATCAGACAAGCCCTTTCCCTTCCCCACAAGGTGTTCCCTGTCTCTAACTGACTGCTGTTCTTGGTGCAACGGTTTGCAAGAGAGGCTCATCTAAGATCAGTGCCCCATGCAGAGGGGCAGTGCGGAAGAGGTTTAAAACCCAGGTAAAGTGGGTACAGCAAGTTATGGTTTCACTTCTTCATACCTTGTTGGCCCTTTCTACCTTATTCAACCTTATTTTATTTTAACAACCAGGGGAATAGACATAATTGGCAAAAGGAGCTTGCTTTGCCTTCCACTCTCCATTTTCAGGTGTCTCCAGACATTTGTCATGAAGCAAGCACTTCTGGGAGTGGTTGATACCAAGCAACCAGCACCAGTCTCCATCGGTTGGCTGTGACCTCCAGCTCACCTTCAGCAAAGCCCAAAACTGAATTCATACCTCAGTCAGAGCTTCATTGTGGTGAACCCAAGGTTTGTTCCTGAGGTTAAATCCTAAAAGCAACCCCAAGCTGATGCCTGCCCCAGCCATTTTTGACTGATGAGACTCAGTTGTAGTCCTCGGGTCAACCATAGAGACCCCATCCCAGACCTGGGTGAGCCAAAGAGAAAGCAAGAGGCAATTTAAGCCAAGCAAAAAAGGAGAACAAGCTATGCAGGAAGACATGGTGTCTGGCATCCTCTGCTCGGCAGTTAATAACTGGGAGATCCTTAGCTGACCTGCTGCAAGTCGGGGTCCCATGGCCATGTCTGCAGCCTCACTGCGCACATTGGCTCATGGGGATGGAGAAAAGGACCCCTTGCAGATGGCCTCAGCAGGTTTGAGTTGAATTCCTGCTTCAGATTTCAATGAAATAGTAGCTGAAATTGGAAGAGGCTGCTCTCCTTACCCACCAAGAGCACCTACTGCCTGTCCCAAGCCTCTGAGCTGCTCCTGAAGGGCTGCCATGCTGGTGCCCATGCCTGATCTGCTGGTCTCCCTCCCTCGGTGGGGCCAGACCTGAGTCTTTTCCTCATCAAGGCGATGGGCCACTTGATTTCATCCATTTTCTTGTCTGTCGACTATGGAGTCCGCATCATGTGTGAGCAGACACACTCGCTGGGGCAAAGCTAAGACCCTACAACCAAGCCCTGCAATTCCCCTGGCCTTCTTCTTCCCCCCTCTGATGGCATCTTGTGCCATGGACCCATGGAGTGTCACCCACAGCAGCTGTGGCCAGATCCTTGCTGGTCACCAAGGATCAAGCTGAAAGCAGAGGATTCAGTTCCCCTTCACCCGCTGGACTCCATGTGATGCAAGAGCCACTGAGGAGCTGGGGGATGGAGCAGAGTGGAAAGTGTCCTTGCCCAGCTGCCTTCATCAGGTCTTCGTCGTATTTCTTTTCCAGCTGGGGGTGGTGGACCTGACCTCAGCCTCTGCCAAGACTACCTCTTCCCAGTCCCCTGCCAGGCTGGGAACAGCTTCTCCAAAAGCCCTTTGCTGTAAGCTGGGCACACTGTGGATGACAAACTATCATCCACCTATGTTGGCTTTAGGGCTGCAGAGATCCTCCTTGTCCTAGCAGGGCTGTGTGGTGAGTGCTCTTGTGTTTCCCCTCGCGTTCCCTGCTCCCCGGTGCTGGTTGCACATTGTGTTTTGGGATGTGGCATGCCAGAGGGCTGCCACTCCTCTTCCTTTCTGGGTGGTTTTGATTGTGGTTGATGCAAATTTGTAAGGTACATGTGTGGACCAACACCCATGGTTTCATGATTTAAGGTCTGTATGTGTGTAGAGCAATGCCCATGGTTTTATGAGTTCTTCTGCAAGTAGGGTAGATGCAGACCTGCCAAGCACAGCTGCAACAAGCAGCTCTCCTCCAGCTGATGGCTGCAGAAGGTTTGAGACTCCCCCAAAAGTGCCAGTATCTTCTAGGAGGTTCACACCACAAAGAGGGGGGGAAATTTTTATGGTGATAGAGTTGCACAGCACATTAGGAATCAGCAGTGAAAAGTGGGAAAGGTGTAGAAACCAAGTGCACCGAGTGTGTCGCTGTCATTTCAGTAGCACTGACGATGGGCTATGGAGCTTGAATGGCCAAAAACCGAGGAGGAATGGTATTTACTTGCCTTGCGTTGGGAAGGAAATATCAGGGTGTTGATGTGCATGGGTCAGCCTGCTCTGAGGAAGCAGGATGTGTGCTTACAGAAAATAAGTGCTTTGCTCAGCTGGATTGCCCTTCTCTTCCCATCTAACTTTGGACAAACCTCAAGGCGTCTGTGGTCCCCTCAAGGCCGTTGGGAACAGGGAGTGTCTCCATGTCCTTCTAAGAAGGATGTCTGCATCCAGTGAGTTATCCAGGACTGGATGCGCTTGCTTGGGAGCCACTCAGATGCGGTCTCCCTGGGGAGAGTACCACATGAGTGGTACATCCTGCAGGCACCTCTTCTTAACTGGTCACCCAGACTTCTTTGAGGAGTGAAATCTCCTGAATTAGCTCTGGACGAAAAGATGTTTGCTTTCTTCCCACAGGCTCCATTACCCTCGGAGCTCCACAGCCTCTGCTGCTGCTCCTATTACTGGTCTCGATCATCCCTCCAGTCTTGATGCTGGTCTGCAGGGCTTTTCTGTACCAGAGGTGAGCTCTGCTGTGAGTGAAGGGGGGACGGAGTTTGCAGAAGTGCGTAGTTGGAAATCAGTTTTTTTCAAAGCATTTATGTCAGCAGAGTTGGGGCAGAAGGTTCTTCTTCACTGTGGCTTATGTTGAAAGCAACTTCCTTTTCTGGTTTGAACTCCTCTCTCCATCCCTTTGTCCTTCCTCTTTCTTTCCACTCTTCCACTTTTGCTTTGACACCATCTTCCCTGCTGATTACAGACACACTGGGAGGTGGGACAGCCCTTGAAGCCTCCTCAAACACTGCCTGCATTTTCCTCTGCTGCCTGCGCTGCCTGTACCTCAGACAGGAGTGCTGAGCAGAGTATGGCTCTATGGGTTCCTAGCTCCCTGTTGGCATGGGATGTTCCACTTTTAGCCTGAGGGGGGAAAAAAGACCAGAAATTGTGTCTGTTCCTGCAGTTTTAGGGCTGTGGTGGAGACTCTTGCAAAGCAGGGTTACCTGTGTTAAACATCTCCATGTTGTCGTGTTGGACGTCCGTCACGCTGATGAAGGGTGCTGTGTGTGGTCCATGTGCTGGATCAAGGGTGGCTTCTCCAAAGCGGGCTTCGTCCCTGAGTGCTGGCAGGGGCAGTGCTGGTATGCCCTGTGCTGCCACCATTGCTGGCGAGGCCAAAGAGATTTGAGCCGTGTGTGGAGAAAACCATCGACTGAATCACCACCCTCTGCAGGTTTTGTGCGCATGGGGGAGCTGGTTGTCTCTGACACATCCATCTCGACATTGGAGAAGAGCAAGCAGCAGCCAAGGTGCCTTCTGCTGGGGATGCCAACCACAGGGGAGCTCAGCAGTCTGTGACCAGCCCCAACCTAAAACTCCAGTGATGCCGTTCCAATCTCAGCACACAGGTCTTTCACCAAGGGCCTGGACCCCCTCGTCTCTGCAGAACTCGGTCACTGGACCCACCGCCCAGCTCCATTCCCACCCCAGTCAGATACCCAGAGCGATACAAGGCGTGACACGCAGCGTGTGGCACCAGCGATCTGCACACAAGATATTCGAGACGCAGAAATTTAAAATTTTGGGTTTTTTCAAATTTTTCTTCACTTTTTTTTGTGTATCTGTGAAAATAAAAAAATTCTCTAAGACTTGAGCGATGTTTTACTCTTGGAGGGTTTTTTATTTTTTTATAA